AGCTACATTTGAAATTATAGGACATTTCGTACAATTGATGTGCTCTGGCTGCTTGAGAGCTTTTGTCAGTGAAGCAAAGAACTATTGAAACAGTCCAGAATGCTTTTTTAATATTCTGGTAGCAGCACAATGGACAATTGTCTGAAACATCTTCCCAACATTTTGATCAGTAAAAACATTGACCAGATTTGCATGTCCCTATGTAAATGCTAGCAAATAAAAACTGATGAATAGACTATAAAAAAATAAATTAAAAAAAAGATATTAAGATGGAAAGATGATTAGAAATTTCTGACAATTTCAGTTGCCTGGACAACTGCATGACTATATAGTCCAAGATGGAAGGCTGGTAACAATAGATTAAAGCAACATGAAACACTTTAAAACTCCCTTTGAATTAGAAGATCCAAACCAGTTTCTTTGTAGAAATAAGAGCATCGGTATCAGAGGAACTGTTGCTCTATGTGGCTTTTTAGCCACATAGACATATTGATAGTACACCAGGAGGTAAAAATGTTTGCAGAGGTTGTTGTATTAGGAAGCAGAGAAGGTATCTGCTTTTCAGCTTTAATAAGCATGAATTCTTCACTATAGGACAGTAATCTCTTGAAGTTAAAAGACACAGGCGCGAAGACCTAAATATCCTTTTGTTAAGGTCTCCAGCTGATTATTTTACTAATGCAGAAAAAAATGATCTTGGAAACTTTAGAATTTGTTTGATAGGATTCATAATAATGGAATTTTTCCCATTCTTCAACACGGCAAAACAGGACAAAATCATCTTACTATAAAAAATACAAAAGCATCTTTTAATCAACCCCTCTGCTTGCAGAAGACTTCCTATTGTTGAAACAGCTTGAAGACTCTGAGTATTGTTACTGCTTTATGGGTCATAAAGTCCAGAGTGCTGCCTATATTGTATGAGTCTTGATTGGGTTGGAAATGGAAATTAAACCTTATTCCAGCAAAAGAGGCACATATTTCAAGCATGAGGAAAATCAGAAGATAATTTTCCTACTTCTGTGGCTGGTATTTAAAAAACAGAAAAGAATGTGAAAAAAACTTTATAATTAACCTGCATAATGGGCAGGTACATGTTGACACAGCCTGGGCTGTGTCCACACCAGGGGAGCTGTGGAGCTACCCTATTGTCCTTTCACCCATATTTTCTCCTGAGGGAAATGGGAGCTCACAGGACAACTGCTGGAGCTGATGATCCAAATCTGTGGCCATGCTGCAGCCTGAATCCAGCCATGCAGGCTGCAGTTCCATGACTGTGTGCATTCCAATGGCACAAACCCTGCATCACAGAATGTAGGGATGGCAGCAGAGAGGAATAGGAAATGGTATCAGTGTTTCAGATATAATGGGTGGAGGGCACTTGGTTAAAAATTACGTTTTCAGTCCAATATTTGATCTTGTCATACAGTTGATGACATTTAGAAAAAAAAAAAAGAAATTTAGAGGAAGAAAGCAAGGAAGTATGTGACATATATGAAGATATGATGCCTTGGGGCAACTTTACCCACACAAATTCTGAAAAAGCAATAGCACAAAACTGAATAAATTGTTACATTTAACAGTCAGAGTGTATGACACAAAAGAATGGAATACTTTTTAAAGATCAATATTTGCACAGTGGAAATGCCATTTTACTTTTGAGGTAGGAAGCAAAGGAGCACTTCAGAAACTGCCATATATAGAATTGCAATTTAAGAAACAAATGCAAAACTGAAATGCCAGCATGGCTTCTGTCAGACAAGCGGTATGGTTCCTTTAGTCTTCTGTGCTGCAGTTACTGAAACACTAATATGCAATACACTACTGTAATCTATTTCCTAAACAAAATTAAGTCAGATATAAGGTCAAAAGTAGACCTTATCAGCAGAATAAAGAGCAATTTGGAGCAGAGTTAATGAATGAATATGAGATATCTGAGTTTTGTACAGCAAGAAAGACAATTTAATTTCACTTTACTACATGTTACTGGGCTAGGCAGCTAGCAGATGCCAAGACTGTAACTCAGACAATGGATAAATAAAACCTTAAAAAAGTATTGTATATTCAGATATTCAGATTTAATGAAAGGATCAGTTATATTTCCCAGTTTTCAACCTAAAATATCCTGAAGATGTAAGGGTCAAATAATATTTCTGTGCCAATTAAAAACATTTGATGGCAAGTATGTCTACATACAACCGAGAAAAAAAGAGGCAAGGTAATGATTTGAGGATCTTTTTTCACATTATATTTTTGAAATTATTTATCTTTAAGTTGTTTTTCTTGCCAAAGTAATTTTCAATCTTCACTATATATTACCAGATTATTACTATTACAACCAAACCTTGATAAGTTTGTTTTATTTATGGAAAAGTCTGATTTGTTATATACTAGCACATTGTTATGAAAAGTGTATTTTAAGAACTGACCTTCTCCAGGTGTGGAAACAGAGAAAATCAAAACCATAGGTTTTTGAAACTTTATTTACTGCAGAGTGAGTCTTTAGAATAACTTTGTGCAATGCTGATACAGTTTGCCACTTCATGGTGCTTGCATATATTTAGTTCAGAAGGGCTCATTTCATGGACTGCTGGGCAAGCTCAGTGTGGGATTTGCAGACTGAGGTTTGTTATTCTGTGAATCATCACAAGTAGTTATCTATCCCCTAATTGCAACAGTTCCATCAATGATTTACATCTGACACTGTGGTCCATCTTACTTCCCCAAAGGAGAGCCACGCTGGACCTGCCGTGCTGGCGACGTGCCTGGCCTGGGGTCAGGAACCACTGTCAGTACGACAGATGTTCATACAGCATTTACATCGTGGCTGTACATTAGCTGGGTGGGAACTGGTGGCAGTGTATCCTTATCAGCAAAGGGCTTGGGGTGGCAATTACATCTGCCTGGGAACCTCGGCCGGTGCTGGAGGCCTGAGGGCAGCGCTGCACTGCCTTTCCAAGGTGTGTGGTGGTAGCTCAGTACATCAGGCTGTACTTCCCAGTCTTGGTAGCTTTAGGCTAAATCAAGACAAACTGCACTCACAACTTTGTCTTCAGTGCAAAATGATCACAGGGAGGGTTATGTGGGGGAAATGGAATAACTATAATTCAGTATATACACATTTCACTAGGATTAATTATTTTTTTCTTCTCTGAAGGGCTAAGTAGCTCTTTTAAAAGGACTTGCTGAAAAAGAACACTGCTTTTATTCTGGTATAATGTTCAGCTATCTCTGATGATCAGGATAGCTGTTTAATCATTGCTTTTATGTTCCCAAATGAATATATAATTTATAAAATGTACTGTATTCTTTATCAAGCAAATGGCATCAATAAAACCAGTCAGTAAATATTAGAAGTCTTGAACATTATAATCACAAAGATACTCTGTCAGTTTATGGGTGGCTAAGTGCGCTTTCACACATAAAGCTTGGGGAGGACTTGAGTGTTTGTTGATAAACACAAATACCATAAAGTAGTACAGACCAGGAAGCTAGCTGCAGAATGTACAACCTTTTTCGTAAGTGTGGAGTTCAGGCTGTACTTGGCCACTTTCTGCAGCAGGGTACAGTCTAATCTGCATGAGCATTTTTTCTTGGTTTTATTTAATTTCATTGTCTTGAACTGAGCAAAATAGTTTACTAAGTGTAAAAATCATTTATGATGAATAGGCACTGAAATGTTATTCTGAAATGCAATTTAGATACTGCACAATCTTTCAGAATATTTCCCAGTTTAACATTCCATGTAAGAGAACAGAAACAAATTATCTGTGTACTTCATGGAAGACAATTCTAAAACTGTAAAAAAGAGCCAAATTTCATAGCCAAACCTTGTCTTCTGCAGTACTACACAGGCCTTCCACTTTTATTTTCTCCAGGTGGCTGCGTATGATGTTGCTACCCCCAAAGGTTCAACAAACCTCTGATGCGTTAGGCAGATTATTTTCTCCTCTTGTTTTCTTTCAGTCCTGTCTGTACTGCTCTTCATATATTTCCATACTGTCTTATTTCTAAACAATTACCTGGTGTTCATTGACGATTCACTTTGCAGTACTGCTTTCGTGAAAAGATTATCCATGGTAGCCCATCAAATTTCTGTATACAAAGAAGTGTCTGTATACGATGAGGAGAGGGAAAAATATCTTTCTGCTATGTATTATATTTGTATATAATGCAGTGCAGAGTGGCACAGACTTAACATTAATTTAGAACTAATGTGTAACAAGAACAAATAGCCGTCATATTTTGTTCAGATCTAACCTGAATACCACTGCACAATACTGTATGTTGTGTGGACTTACTGCTGACCACCAGTCACCTGACGGTTCCGTGTTTGGTATTTACTGTTAACAAGATCAAATACCGTTGTAATCTTTTAGTTTCTGAGGCACATGTACATTTTCCCTACAAATTATCTCTAGTCCTGTCCTATCCTTTCTGGTTTCACAGCACAGCAGTTCAGTTTGCACAGCTACAACATTGCTTTGTCTTTTGATTTGATATTCTCATCTACCTATTTACTTGGGGGAAAAAAAAAAAAAATTGTAAATTAAAAGTTCTTGTAAACAGGCTAGACCCCAAAAGAGACACGTACTCTATAGATAGCATGCAGCACATCCTGTCTTGTGTTTAATATTTCATGAGCTCAGTAATCACAGGCAAGTCACTAATCCCTCTGCTTTCCTTTCTGCACTGGTGAAACAGTTGTGGTGAGAATATTCTATGATGGTTTAGATGTCTTTGCTAAGCTGTGTAAAACTTTAGAATGTGAAGGAAGTTTTGCACAAGTCACTCTATGCTTGAACTTGAGGAACTAATAATAGCAAAGCAGAGTAAAATTAATAGAAATCAAGACATAACTTATATTCTGTATCAGTTAAAAAAGTTCAGGCACTGTAGTGACCAAGGCAGTTTAGATAGCATCAGGGACCAGCTCCACAGCTGATTTGTGGTAGTGTGTTACTGACAACGTCTGTATCTCTGTCCCTTCCCTCTTGCAGTATCGGTCAGGGCGGGATCCTCATCGAGGCTCAGACAATGTTTCCAATAAGTCTTCGGACAGCGATGTCAGCGATGTCTCCGCTGTGTCACGGACAAGCAGCGCTTCACGTTTCAGCAGCACAAGCTACATGTCCGTCCAGTCAGAGCGTCCAAGAGGAAACAAGAAAATAAGGTGAGCACGATGAGCTACAGTGCCAGCTACAGCTGTGTAATTTGTGTAACTGAACACTTACTGATATGTGTATTTGAAATTAACATTTTGCCTAGAATTAAATTTGCAGGGAATTTCCAAAATACTGGTTTAAAAGTCTTTTGCATTTCATGCTTTTTGAAGTCTTCATGGTATTTGTTTTTAGCCAAGTTTTGTCGTCTTGGGTTATGTAACATACACTAAAATAACAAACATATGTTGTCAGCAAGAATTAGACACACTTAGATTTGCACTTTCTGAAAACCATTTTGTAAAATGATATGGCTGAAAAGACAGTTTAACTGCAAAATTTGTGCCAGCAGAGGTATCTTATTTTCCTTTTAAATAGAGCTGCTGAACTTTTATAGATGTATTATTTAATATCTACACAGACCAGTCCAATTTGTTTAATACCTACACTAGTCCAATTTAGGTGTACACTGTCAGTGTACAACCATTGAACTGCTCTTCAACAAGACATACATTATGTATCTATGATAAAACCACAGTATTTTCTTTGCCTGCACCCTATGTGCACTCACAGGAGGTTTGGCTTTCATTTGGTGCGCAAACGAAAGATAATTTTTCTCAAAGGTGCAACCCACCTCCATCACCTATACTAATTTTCAGAAAATTGTCCTCTTGAGAGAAATGGTGTGTTTGAAAAAATTGTTTAAGCGTCTGCTAATATGAGCATTGTTAGAACCACATAGTTTCTTTCACACAGTTCTGTATACATTTCTAAATGAGATGTGTTGCCATGCTTATTTGTGTTGCTTATTTGAAGAAAGACTTACTTTCTCCTAGCAAAATGTACCTAGAGCCTAGAAGGCTCTCTAGTTTAGGCTGGACTCTTAGCCAGCATGATTTACCTTATGACTGCTTCCATCCTTTAGTTATTTCATTTCTTTTGCATTTCCTTTTTTCATGCATGCTCTTCTCCATGACCTTAACTTTAATTTGTTTTCTTTTTTTTCTTTTTGCATGCCTTTTTCAATTTATGTTGACCTCAGAAGGACAAGGGATATAGAGGGGAAAAAAGAGGGAGGGCTGGAAGGGGATGAACAAGATGAAGTATTTCCTGAGGAGGAAGAAAAAGTGGAGGAGGAGGAGGCAAAAGCAAAGGAGCAAGAAATTAATGAAAAAGGGGAAGGGCAAGAGGTGACAGAAAACTGTGATAAGGAGGAGATCAAAGAATCAGGGCACGATGAAAAAGCTCAAGAAGACCAAGTTGAGGAAGGGAAAGAGGATGACAGGTAAAATATACTTCTGTTTCTATTTTTCTGCCTCCAAGACCCTATTTGTCTTCCCTTTTCATTCCTTTTGCTTGCTTATTGCCTATGCTCTCTGCAGTTTTTGTTTTGTTTTGTTTTGCTTTCTTTCATGATGCTTTCATATTTAATCAAGTTTCACTCTCAACTTCAATGAGCTTGTTCTGCATATCAAATGATGCAGCACACCAACTTGACTCATTAATATGCATGCAACTACAGCATACTATTTTTTAAATTGACTTAGACTACAGTTTGGGTTTGACTATAAGAAACAGTAGGAATTGTAGGATGCCTTATTGTATTTCACACTTGAATTATTATTTCAGGTAAAATCTTCTGTTGAGTGATATATCATCAATGTAAAAATCAGCTTTACTTTCATTTATGGCCATACTAAAGACAATATAGGTTTTTTTTTTCTTATCCTCTTTGCATAGGTTGATAAACTATGCATAGTGATTGACAGTGTCAAAGCATAGTCTTCCTATTTTCTTTTGTTTGTTCCACATGACTAACAGTCAAGGATTGTTGTATGGTGGAGGAGTCATGCACCTCTGCTGCTGTATTGGATCCAGAAACATTTCAGTACAACTGGCTCTCATTTTATCAGATAATATTCTAGAATTATACATTTTTCAATGAATCCTTGAAACCACATAAATTTCTAACATTTTGTATTGCAAAATCCATGTAAATTGCATTGAAATACAATATTTCTTCTTTATTTATTAGCAAAAAATAAGTTTCAGATTTGATAAATATTCTTGAACCCCTTCTTACACAAGAATAGCAGAAAATCTCAGAAAAATATACTTTCTTTTATCTTGCCAATTCTAAACTACCTCTCAACACCTTATACCTGTAAAACTCTGCTCATATACATCAGAGTAAGCACAGAGCACTCCACGGAAATCCACTCTGTTTGCTACAAGCTTGCATGCATACATGCGGGGGCTGCTCAAAATCACTTCATTATCAAAAATTATCTTGTTAAGGATACCTCATACCTCTTGATATTACTGTTCTTATGGGCTTTATGAGTAATGGTAATAGTCACACTAAGGTCTTCAATCTGCTGAGATCATAGGTGGGTTCAGTGTAACTTAAATGACCATGAAGGCAGATACCCATCATGGATTCATCCCATGACTGTTTTAAAGAGTACCTCAGAACAATGAACTGCATTAGCTTTTAGAGCACTGGAGCACATTAAATCAATTAATCTTTTTTGGCAGAAATAGCTGCAGCATCAGATTTTTCCTTCATTAAACCTTGTAAAACTAAACCTTGGCATATGGTTGACCTATAGGGAAATCATAATTGCATTCCTTCTTGGCAATGCATGTTAGTAAACAGAAAGCATTCACTCAAGCTTTGCTGTTGAGTATTCATTATTCACAGTTCCCTGCCATTATTTCTTATTCCAGCTCCCTGATGATATCAGGGACAAAAAATAATAATTAAAAATTTTTACTGCAGGTAATCTGTTTAAGACTTCCCTAAAATCTTATCCTTACTTTTTCTAAATATCAATCCTAAGCATTAATTCTGATACTTGCAATAGTTTTATCATGTGAATACACAGCAATTGTAATTGCAGAGCGATATTTCACTGTTGAAATACTGTAGAAAAACACAATCTCTGTTCCAAGCACACAGAAATAACATATATGTTTAAAAGGGGAAGCACAGAAGAACTACGAGATGTTCCTCATGACAGAAGATAGTTACAGCACTGAGTTAGGGACATCTTGACAACAGAGAATGCTAAGGGGTGATTTGACCAAAGAAAATAAGATGGCTTTGTGAATGTTTCTAGAGAGCTCTTTTCAAGCATTCCAGGCAATGAGGAGAAAACATGAGGTGCTTACTAAAAATATATCAAGTGGATGATGGGGCAAGTCTGATGAGCAGCAGGAGCTGATCTTTCAGTCTTGAATGAGAGAAAATGAAGATGATAAGGAACAAATGCTAAAATACTGGGAAATAAAGTAAAACTGGATAAAAGAGTGTATAACTTTTTACTGATGTACGGAGAAAGATGGCACAGCCAAATAAAAGGCCATGAATCTTAATCTTTCTACCAGTATCCTAGAAGGGGTCATTGGGTAAATTGTCAGGGCTGGAGAAAAGAACTACAGTAGCTGTCATTTGAAATGGTGAAAATGGACAAAGCAATTGTCTGTGTGGGTGGGCAGAGAGGGTAGAAATGTGAAATGGAAAGCATGTGCAAGTCACAACATTTTGCTATGTATTGAAAGAACCAGTAACATCCCATGTGAAGAAAGGAAGTGAATGCTAAAGGACAGTAGAAGGACTAGAGCTGATTAAGTAGGAAGGTGACACAACCAAGAAAGGAGAATTTGTAGTGGAAAAGGTCATCTGGGATGTAATTTTGCAGAGTCACTTAAAGATTCAAGAAATGGAGTGCAGGATATAGTTTTAAGTAATATATTTCTTCAGATACAAAACCTTCCTAACTTTTCATGCTCTTCATTCCCTCCCCTTGTTAGGTATAAAGATTAATTTCAAATCCACTTTTTATTTCTTTTTTTGTATCAGTCAGTAAAAATAAAATCTTTAAAAATTTAATTTGTAGATTTTAAAACTGATTCCTGGTGCATATTTATTCCCTAGTTTTTAATTAAAAATTAATTTTAGTATTGCAAGTTTTATGGGCCTTCCACTGTGATTGCAGCTATTATCAGTTAAATGCTGTGTTTTGTAAAGCTGGAAGAAAAAACATGTCAATTCAATTTGGGCAAGCTCCTTCACAGGGGTGGAAGCAATATTCTGGTAAAAATATCAAAAACTATGCAAAGGCAACATCAAGAATCCATTTTCATCATGTATATGTGCTTTGGTTTCTTAAAGCTATTTCAGAATGATTTCAGTTATTGCTTTAACTATACTACTGCATGAAAGAAGTTAATTGTGCCTAACCTTTCTAGCAAAAAAGGCTGTATGTTTGAAGAGAAAACTGCGGCCTGAGACTCTTTCCCCACTGCATGATGGGTCTTATAGCAAAATTGCAGTACAGGTAGTCTGGGCTCCCAAGAGCTATAGATAAAAATATAGATGAATAGATGGATACATAAAGTTCACACAGTGTCATTTCTGCCATGGAGGGGGAGTTATGTCAATGTTCAGTTATGTCAATGTTCAGGTAATTTTTCAGGGAAAACAGGCCAGCATGCCATTTCCTGCATCTCTTGACCAAATGTGTTGGTCTAACAATTTTTTCATCATTACAACAAAGTGACCTTGCCATTCCTGGGATGAGAATGGCAGGCTGCAGTGCAATACTCACCAGCTCTTTTCAGCTGCAAAACGCTTCACTATTCAGGCAGTTTGGCGTGGATATCACACACTGGGTCCTTGAACAGAAACCAGCAACTTTATCTTGTGTCTTTCTAACATAACTCTTCTGCATACTTATGGCTAGGTTGCCAGTCAGTGTATTTAAAGTCAAAGGACCTAAAATAAAGATTTTTTCAGTAAGATTTTGTTAGTATTATTGGGCTGGGTAGAGTTTGTTGGGAGTTTGTGACGAATTCTCGCCCTATTTGAATCATAGATTCAAAGCCACTACTTTTTATGCAAGCTTTTTAACTTTAGTATTCTACAGCAAGGCAAAACTTCAAAAGCTGTAAATTCATACAGCTACTGGGTCTTTACCAGCACACATGGTCAAACATGGCCATTTTG